TATACTATCAGATTTAGAAGCTATGTATGAGTGGTTAGATATTTTTCTATATAAATATCAATACATGCCATTTTTTTATATCCTTTAAACTTCAGTGTAGTATTCTATCGAATGGATATACCATGATTAAATTAAAATTCCCCTTCAGTGGACATTTGGGTGTTTCCATTTTTTGGGTCATTATTAGTCAATTTTGCATAGTTTTCCAAATATTTCCCTAAGATATATTGCCACATCTGTGCCAAAAGATGCCATTTTTAACCAAATAGAAGGGAGAACATCTTGGGTAAAATTAAGGATTGAAGAGATAAACCAAATAAAATATGCAAACGAAAAACCCAAGAACTGCAGTATTGGGAAGTTCTTATGGGAGAATTAGAATAAAAAATGTAAGAGGCAGTATCTGAAGATGGTAAAAGCAGAAGGAAAAAAAAAAAAGCCCACCACTTCCTTTGAAAGGGGCATCTCAAAATGCAGAGGTGAAAGCTGATGGCAGACCAGACTAGCCTGTTTTCTCCAGGTTTCTGACATCCGGAGGTAGGCACAGAAGTCACTAGACTTCCTGATGCTAATTCGTTGTCTTGTGTGCTAGCCCTCACACTGGCAGAGGTGTGTGGTTCCTGCGAGGAACCCCAGCATTTATGTAAGTCTACACTGGAGGGTGGGGCAAATCCCGCTCAGGAAGGCCAATGCACTTTGAAAAGCTGAGGGGCTCTGCTTTGTGAACACTCCAAATAGATGCATTATCACTTGAATAAACCACACACACTGGAAAGGAGAGTGATTATGTTATAAAGGGATCATTCCATTTTAGGGTGTTTAAAGAGAGGCATTGTTTTAAATAGGAGAAATTTCAACACATCTGAAAGAAGATTGGGTTTTAAAATCACTTGACTCATTTATTGTATGTGCTTCCAAATGCCTCACTTGGGGTGGCAGTGGCTTGTCTGTCACAAACATGGAGGGTGAAATTTTATGTCTGTGTCACTTTCCCATCCGGTTTCTATTCGTTGCCCGAATTTTCTTAAAACAGTGAGGGAAGTTATAATGAGAAATTCGTCCAAACCCATTGTCCAACTTCAATGTTGTGACTTTGTTTAAAAGTCGAGCGAAATCTAATCAACAAGGGTTGAAAACAGTGTCACTCATCTTTCCATGCGTCACTCTGTCCCTCCTGTTCATCCTTACGTACCAGAGGAGAATTATTCTAAGCACACTGAACCTATATACTCTCTTTGAGTCTCAATTCATTATAGTAAGCTCCAGAAGAAAAATATATAAAAGAAATATTAAAGAAAAGGGAAAAGCAAAAGTTGCACTTACAAAGAAATCCCTTTTAGCTAGTGGGGCTCCCAGAGAATCTGGAGACATCAATAATTCCTCAACTGCAAAAATATTTCCTAGTCTTGTGAATTCTGAAAATCTCTGAAGTCCAATAGGGATCCCAAACACACTGATAGGATTAGAAATAGCATCCTCAATAAAAAATGCATAACAGAGTAGGACATGAAATAATGTATTTCTCTTTGAAACCATGAAAGTACACCATATTTGTCTGGAAATGTGTGTGTGAAATTTAAACAACCCCTGAAGACATCCATCTAATTTTTTTTTTTTTTTTGGAGTTTGTTCTCAATTGAAATTCTTCTCTCTCAAAATTTGTGTGGCCAGCTCCCAACTTCACACTCTCCCTCACTTCTGTTTCCCTCAATTTCCTTCCCTTTATGACCCTTTTCGGTTGTGCCCCTTGATTTATGGTCATTTGTGGGATTGCTCTGCTTTGTTTTATGGCAGTTTATGTCATACTGGTCTTGTCATAAATGACTACCATAAAGTGAGGTAAAATATCATAAAACGTTAGTGAGTCCCTGATACTCAAGGTTCTTCAGAATAAGTCCTGACAGGTTCCAACCATGGAAAAACAGATTTGGACATTTGGAAGGGGCAGCATTTGTAAAGATACTAAAAAGTAATAGTAACGGTCACTGAGGTTTCCTGATTTCTTTCTGTGTGCTGATCACCGGGTTAAGCTCACTTCATACCTTATCACCGATAACCCTCCTTACTTTTCTGTATGAGATGATCATTTTATCATCACCGGTACTGTGCAGACAAGGAAACTGAGGCATGGAGAGGCTCAGTACAACCAGGGAGCGACAGAACTTTGATAGAGTCCACGCTTTACTCCAGAGCCTATGCTCTTTACTATGACGTGTGCAGATCCTGGCACTGACCCCGGGAGGGTACAGCACATGCAGCTGATTGACATGTGGGGTTTAGCCTTTGGTAGAGTTTCCATGCTCTGTGAGTGCTTGTTACTTCCTACCGTCCTGCCTGCCCTGCTCACAAGTCCCTCCAGCACACTGTGATGGAGTCTCCCCTCACTGCATGCCTTCCCTATCCTTGCCACACTCACCGGTCCCCACATATTTGCAGCACTGTCGCCTTCCCAGTGTTAAGCCCTGAACTTGTCCTCAGAGTCTCCGCTTTGCCAGCACCACCTGGAGCCAGAAACCCCAGAGTTCCCTTTGATTCCTCCTCTTTCCAACCAAGTCCTGTCTTTGCTACCTGGGAGCCGACACACCTCCTACGGGGCCACACTTTGTAGTTTCACCTTCTAGAAGTGGGGTCCTGCAAGCTGCTATCATCTCTGTCCCAAAGTGCCGGAGAGCCAATTTCTGCAAACATTCTCAACGCCCTCTGTTCCGTGTTCTATGTGGGAGCAGATGTGCTCATAAACCATACACCGCAACTGTGGGCTGTTAGCCCCACTTGTCACTGTCATTGGCTTCCTTCTGCACTCTGTCTGACTCTCCCCTCCCTTGTGACCTTGCCTCATGCCCTTGCTCTGCCTCACTGGCCTCCCTCTGAACCAGGAGACTTCTCTCCTAATTTAGAACCTTCACACAAGCTTTCCTCTCCGCCTAGAATTCCCAGCCCCTAACTCTTACCTGCCTTTGTCTTTATGTAGCAAATCTGCTCTTCATTGCTAGTGTCTTACGGGAATTCATCTGCCATCTTTCTTTCATTCTCTGTCACTACAACTGTTTCCTTCATCTCTCTGATCCTCTTGCTTAGTGGTTTGTCTACTTCCTGACAGTGTTTCCCCATCTAGATTGTAGGCTCCATGAGGACAAGACAAAATGCCTAATGGCTCCACAGCAGTCTTCCTAGCATTAGGCCCAGGGTCCAGCATGACAGCATGGTGGATCTTTGTTGAGTGGGTGTGTGTGGCCTTGTATGTATGTCTTCATTCCCATAGTGGATTGCGAGGGCTGGAAGGACAGTTGCGGATTCCCTGTTTCTGTTCAATATGTGTTAGGAAGAGTGTTCACGTTGTTGGCATAACATATATGTTAATTTAATACACAGAGGTTGGACTGATGTATGACAACCCTCACAAACCTTGGCACAGGGGACTGAGACGGTGCCTTGCACTGGGTTGTGGATGGAGGGAGAATAAAAGGCAGGAATGGATCATAAGACAAATTAGGATGATGGTATCTCTGATCCATTCAATTCATTAAAAGAAATATTTGAGCATTTTGGCTACAAAAGAAAAAGGAAAAGAGATGACAAATAAGAACCAGGAGGAAAAATAGAATCAGTGTGGTTTCTCTCTCTCGCTCTCTTTTTTTTTTTTTTTTTTTGCCCCTTCATCTGCTGTCTTTTCCAAAAATCATTTTACGTTTCTTCTGTCACATCTATAGTGAAGTGTAAATTACAGTTTCCAAGATAGATGGCCATTTTCAGTGAATTTTAGCAAGGAACGAAATTTTATTTGAGACTGAAATTTGGCATCCCTTTGCCTCTTCATGCTGGGAACTATTTTTTGTCTTTACAAAATGCAATGAGACATAAATCCTGTTGTTTTATTTCTAAATGGTGCTACACCAAGCCGAAAATGGACTGGGAAACAGGAGTGCCTCCAAACTCGGGCCAGCCTTGGCAATCCTAATTTATAGCGCCTGTCGTACTACAAGGGAGAAATCCAATCAGGGTCCTAGAAAAATGGGAGGCTATTTTTAATTGTACTCTCTTTCAATCCCCTTCCTCTCCTTGTGAATTTCTTTTCACCCTGGCACTCCTAGCTAAGTAGATTGCCACCCACAGGAAAGCCTACTACACCCAACAGCTAACATTTGATGTGACACCATTTGGAAGGCTGGCAAATCACAGAGCATATGGAGGACTTCAGATGGGTTTTGAGGGACATTTGGCTCAGGGTTTCTCATGGTGGGAGCACTCTTGGCACGTGGAGCAGGCCGGTTCTTTACTGTGGGGGACTGTCCTGCGTGTGGCAAGATGTTCAGCATCCCTGGACCCCCAGCATTACATGGCAATAGATGCCTCTAAGTCACAGTGACAAATAAAAGTACCCTCTCTCCAGTCCTAAACATCATCCTTGGGGGATCCTACTCTTTTGGCAGAGAAGCACCAAGAGGATTTTAAAACTTTCTTGAGTCATCTCAAGACGAAGATTCCATTATTTGTGATCATGAAAAAACTGTCAATCACAAATCCTTGGATGTTCCTAAGTGGTAGTAAGAAGAAGAGTAATTAATATTTTTGGAGCATTTAGTCTGTTCTAAGTGCCATCAGAGCACATTTTATGCATTTCCACATTTGATCCTCCATGAAGTAGGTACCAGTGGTATAGTAAGATCTATTTAATAGTGAGATCCACGTATGTCCAAAGACCCACTGAGGGTTGCCCCCTGGAACCCCGAAGGCTATGAGATCATAGCTGGAGGATTCTGTGTTGTCTCCCCCATGGCTGCTTTCCCTACCACTTTTCTTTCTTTCTTTTGTCTTTATCCTTCTTTCCCTGTATTATTAAAAAAAAAAATTTTTGTTCTTTCTCAATGGCTTCTTGCTGCCCTTCAAAAATCATTTAATCTAGAGAAATAAACTGGTTGTTCTATCTCCTGGTTATAGCATTAAATAATAAGAGATTGATTGTTACTGCATTTCGAGGGTATAGTTTGAGATATTCAGACCTGTGGTTTCTGTTGAGTTGGCGAAATTCACTCGGTGGTGGCGGCTGGGAGGAGGACCTCAAGGACAAGCATGGAGATGTTCCAGGGGAACCCAGCCAGGTTCAACAGGAGACTCCTGTGATTGTCAACCAGATGAGAGATGGGTCATGTCAGGATGAAATGATCGGAGTAGACAACAGGCTTTCAGTGTGAGCTTCAGCCAGAGGTCACAAGGGCAGATGTTTGAAATCCAGGAGTTGACCCGCAGTTGAGCTGCCTCTCCATGGGCGACTCCATGTGGTGTCCTTGGGTGAAGGCAGCAGGACCTTCTTTATTCACTAATGTGTCATGACTCTTCTGCTCAGTTGTGTATTGAGACCCACTCCGTGCTGAGGAATGGGGTGCAAGGGTGAGTAAGATATGACTCCAGCTCTTCAGGAGTTCATAGCCTGGTGGAGCAAATTAAAACATAAATAATGTCATGCCCATTATAACAGAGCAAGATTTCTCAACCTCAGCTAACATTTGGGGTCAGATAATTCTGGATTCACTGGGAGTTATCTTTTCTCAGATATAAAGTTTAGCTCTATCTTTTGTTGGATCCACTATGGCTACGCACACCCTTGAGTCAAAGCATTTTCTTAAACAAAGGCAGTTACCTCCCTAAGAATATTTCTGTTTTGGGCTAATAGGATGTTAGAGTTTCAAAACCTTTATATTTTGTATATATACACATTTTTTTTTTTTTTTAAAGATTTTCTTTATTTATTCATAAGAGACTGGGAGAGGCGGGGCAGAGGCAGAAGCAGTCTCCCCGTGGAGCAGGGAGCCCAATGCAGGACTCGATCCCAGGACCCTGGGATCATGACCTGAGCCGAAGGCAGATGCTTAACCGACTGAGCCACTCAGGTGCCCTACACATTCTTTATAATATAAAAATACTTTAAACATCAATATAAAAAGATCGATTGTATTGTGTTAGCATGTTCACCTAGTCAAGCTCTTACAGCTGCAAAGACTAGAGGTACTCTGAACTTGAATTAGGCTAGTAAGTGAATGGGCACAGAGAGAGGGGAGCCAACAGGTGCTGTGAGGCTAGAAGAGTAGAAAGTGCAGAGTCATCTGTAGAAGCTGAGAGTAGCTGAGGCATTATAATGTCCAAGCGCAGGGGAGAGCAAGGAGGATGCCAGCTTCAGAGGCCACAGCTCCCAGAGCCACCATGGCCTCCTCAAGGCTCCTGTCCGATGTCGTTGCATGTCCTTGGGGACTGGGAATGACGCAAGTCCTATTTTCCTTAATTCCTTTTGTCATCTTACGATAAGCCCTAACACCTGAGGTAACATGAGCACAAGCCTGCACCTCCCAACTAGGAAAATAGATACCCCGATGACATCAGTTTGTATTATATAATTGTGGGGGAAGGGAGAGAGGAAAGGGGAGAGACACTAGCTCACCTTTGGGGCAAATCCTTGCTTTGTTGAAGTTGATGAAACATTTGAAAGTTAATCTGTTGAAGGAACTGGAATTCTCTGGGCACAGGCCAACCCACAATCGAGAGGTGGTCTTGAATTGTTGAGGAAGTAAAATGGTTCATGGGAAAAAGTTTGCCTCTAAGTAAGCGGATGATTCATGGGCAGATAATCAAGATCTAGCCAAGACAATAAGAAAAATATTTGAGCATTGACAAAGACTCATTTCAGGCATCATCTTCTCAGGGAAGGCTGTTCAGAAACCCTTCTTCCCCGTCCAAGACTGACTTTCGTCCCCCACCCTCCTCTAGAAACTTCTATCCTCCTTCACACTGCATTGGATTATAATGATCTGTTTACCCATCTGTCACTTTGCTGGGCTCTAGGATCCCCAGAGGCAGGGCCTGTGTCTAATTCATCTTTATATCCCCAGCCTCTAACCAATAACCTCCATATAATAGGCGCTCAATAAATTGTTGAGTGAGTGAATGAAGGAATTCACTCCCAAGGCTTACCCCATGTACTTTTTAAGGAGGGGGAAAGAATTCATTTTAACTTGAATATAGGTTTTCTTCCACAAAGAGCACATTGATAAAGAACAGCTACTGATTTCTTCTGCGAGAGAAAAATGATAGAACGGTCCTCAATGCTATATTTCAAACTTCTGTCAACTCTTCTTTAAAAAAAAAAGTCTGTCCAGCAGCACTCATATCATTTTTCAAATTTCATGTCATCCTTTTTTAGATGCTGCCCATCCATCATTTTAGGCAGGGAGTATCCATCATGATAGAAGCTAAATAATTTTCAAAGCTGTCAGGGAGTGGACACCAAAAAGGTCCCCATTTCATTTGAACAGAGTTATCCGGGGCTGGTGGTGAGGATCCTGCTGGGATGGGAGAGCTGGTATCCTGGGAGCGCCTCTCAAATTGGTTTCAAATGGAACAGAGGAAAAAATTCATTCCAGAAGTTAGATATCAATTCTCTACATAAAGTGTTACACATAACACCCATCAATATCATAGTTAGGTAATAGTTTAGGTAGAAATAAAGTCTGTTTTTCTCATGACTGTGTTTTCCTTAAAAATACTTATATATCTCTATATAGTTTTATCTAATTTTAAATGTAAATCATGTTTATTTGCAAAATACAGAAAAGTGTAAGCAAGAAGATAAAATTTGTGAATTATCCCACCATGCAGAGATAACCACTTTTAATATTATTTTTGGTGCATTTTTTCTTCCAGTCACACACACGTGTGCGTGTATGTGTATACACATATTTATTTGTATATATATGTGTGTATATACTAAAATTATTTTTGACAAATTTGGTGTTACATTTTTTATGGAGTTTTACATCCTGCTTTTCTCACTAAATTATATCCTAAACATTTTCCTATGTCATTAAGTATTCTTTGAAAACATGATTTTTCAAGGCTACATTATATTTGATTTTATGGATATACCATAATTTATTTACCTCTTGTTAGACATGCTGATTGTCCTGGCTTTTTGCAACGCAGTGTTTTATTTATTGCATTTTCCCTGTCTTTCAGCTTTTTTTGTGTTTATCATCTATATAATTCTCAAGAATCATAATCTTATCTTTTTATTAGAATGTCAAAGATAGGTAAATGGATTTTGTTTTTATAACTCACAAAGATTCAACCTACAGGAGGCTTTTTGGTTGTCTCTTAAATCAGTAAGAGCTATTATATACGTTCACTTTTATAATATAGATTAAATTCTGTCAATTAAATGAGTGTGCTTGTATTTCTTTCCTGTTTACCTATTTGTTGTGAGGTGATGTACAAGTTCTTGTTATAGATCAGCAGAGGCTACAAATATGTCCAGGACGAGTACCCAGAAGGTGTCTTTAACCGAAGGAGTAAAATGATGGCACAGCTCTTGCCACATTAGAATCTTAGTCCTGCCACTTGCTTGCTGGGCAAACTTGGGCATCTTTTTTGGCCTGTAAGAGCCTCAACTTTCTCAACCATAAGTTTGCTAGAGAGAGTAGCATCTAAGGTTTTGCACGTTAGATATGAGGATTATCTGGGGCGAAGCATACAGAGCACCTGTCGTGGGGTGCTAGAAACAGGGAGTAGTACCTGCCCCTTACAGAGACTATTTTTCCTGGTTTCTATCTTTTTTTTTTTTTAAAGATTTTATTTATTTATTTGACAGAGAGAGAGAGCGAGAGAGGGAACACAAGCAGGGAGAGTGTGAGAGGGAGAGAAGTAGGCTTCCTGCCAAGCAGGGAGCCGATGCGGGGCTCGATCCCAGGACCCTGGGATCATGACCCAAGCTGAAGGCAGACGCTTAATGGCTGAGCCACCCAGGCACCCTAACCTGGTTTCTATCTTAAAGCAGGTAAATATTAGATGTTTCTCCTTGGAGAAAAGATGGAGGAGTACCAGAGGCCTTGCCTTAGTTGACTAGGGACTCAGACACATAATCCTTTTTGAGTGACCTTGTGTCTGGGTTTTTTTTTTTTTTAATTTTCAGAGCTTTATCAAGGTGTAATTTACATACCATAAAATTCACCTGTTTAAATGTACAACTCGTTGATTTTTTTTTAAAAGATTTTTATTTATTTGAGAGAGAGAGAGAGAGAGACAGCGAGAGAGGGAACACAAGCAGGGGGGAGAGGGAGAAGCAGGCTTCCCGCGGAGCAGGGAGCCCGATGTGGGGCTCGATCCCAGGACCCTGAGATCATGACCTGAGCCGAAGGCAGACGCTTAACGACTGAGCCACCCAGGCGCCCCTAACTCGTTGATTTTTAGTAAATCTGTGGAACTGTACACTTACTACCACAATCCAAATATTGGATAGACTCTGAGATATAAAGGGAGTCTTTTCCAACAAAAATGTAAGCCATTTCATTGTATGGTTAGAGGAGCTTAAATGGTCATGAGTTAGACGTGAGAACTGTCACCCAGAATATATGACCAGTTGTACATGATAAATATGGGTACTGCTAGTTAAAAAGGGAACTAGGTAAGGCTGAGTATCTTTGTAAAGAAATTATTCTGACATAATTTCTGACATAAAGAAAAGAAACAAGAATAGTGCAAAGTATCCCTAGGTATAGGTTACTGTGATTCCCCAAATATTAATATTTTACTATATTTCCTTCTTTCTTTTCATGTGCTCTCCGTAATACATCTATATATGTATCTGTGTCTGAATGCAAATCTGTATGTCGTAGACATACGGCCTATGTATATCTTTGTATTATCTGTCTAGACAAATGTATAGCTAAATATGTGCATATGTATATATATTATACATAAATCATATATATATGTAAAATGTTTTCCAGAACTGTTGAATAGTAAGCTGCAGACTTTACCCCTTCCTTTACCCCTAAATACTTCCATATGTATTTACAAAAAACACATTCTCTTAGTCTCTTATAATCATATATAGAAAAGTAAAATTGGTATACTACTACAATATGCATACTTCTCTCAGATCTTCCCAATAATCTCCTTTTTAGTCAAATAAAATCTAAGATCATGTGTTCTTTATAATAAACTAAAATCTAAAATCAAACATAAGGTTAATGTCTTGATAGGCTCAGTACCTGAAGAAGGTATCAAAGGGCACACCATCTCTTGGTTATATTTACCGACTCACATAAAAGCCATTTAAAAATCTTTCATGGTTACGTTAGATTAAGATCTACAACTCTTTCTGTTGGGCCAGGCAAGGAGAAATTCTTCTTGGTATTCTCAGAAGCTGGCATTGTGCCTGGCCCATGGTCAATGCTTGGTAAATGTTTGTTAGCCAAACCTGGAAAGAGATCAGACTTAAAAGTAATTTCTGCATCATCAAAGAATAAAGATATTTTAAGCTTCATTCATCTGAGGATTGTATTTTCTAACTGAAAATTAGGAACAGATGTATAAAAATGTCTTTCTGTTACTTGGGTGCCACCGGGTGAATTGCGATGCAGTTAATAGTAATCATTACAATAACCTCTGTGGTAAGAACAGCTCCGGCATTCATGGCAATAAACTGAACTTTCTGTTTATCAGAACCAGTCCTTCTGCTTGAATCTGCAAATGGCTTTCAGTCTCAAACCGAGGACGTTTTTGAAAGCTGCAGCTACTCACACAAGGATTTGAGTGCAAGGAAGGGGTCCCAAAAAGCCACTGGTAGGAGAGTGGAGAGATAAGACAGGGAAGGGTAGACTACAAATAAAGGGGGATTATCTATCTAACAGGTCATGACTGTGGACAACCAGGGCTCCCCTGCTGGTCAACGTGGAGACAGCATAAAACACAGATACTCCAACAGAGGGGCAGCAGAACTGCAGTATTATCCGCCGCCACCCTCCCCCCCTGCCGCCCAGTTACTGGTTGAGAGCTGCTCCCAAGAAGTATTAACTCCCCCAACATGTCCAGGGCATCCCATGGGAGAGGCTAAGAGGCTCTGGCGGCTCCAAAAACCCTCTTCCAAGGAGACTCAGGTGCTTGTAGTTGGAGTCCGTCCCGTAAGCGCACGTGGGCGTGACACCTGCCTAGCGATATGGATGGGACGCGCTTCTCATTCTTGCGATTTAGAACCACTTGTGATTTGGAACCGGATGTAAGGTAACGATGGAAACATTTTCAAAATTAGGTATTTGTTGTTGAAGGAAATGTGATCAATTGAGAGTCAACCTTTCTTCCTTGTTGTTGTTGTTTTTTAACGAAAGGAAAAGGTAAAGATCCTTCTATGGTTAAGCCGTCCCAGCTTCCAGTAGGAAGGGGTATGAAGATAATTTCATTACATCTAACTAGTAGTGGAAAGAGTGAAGCTAACTCCAATCGCTTGAGGGAAGGAGTAAATTAAATGCTGATGACATTGACCAGGCAGCAAACTACATTCATTGATTATTTTAATTTTCTCTCTTGTGCACTCAGTTAAACACCCATAGCGGTGGATTTCAAGGTAACTAAAAGGTTGTTTAGCACATTGTTAAAAGAGTCACGAATAAGCAGAAAAAAAGATCTCTATTAAATCAAAGAAAGAATAGCTATGTGGGTATGTGGATTATGCATGGAGGGTGTACATGGGTAATTTGTCCTGTGCAGCTGCCTGTGTTCATCAGAAGTGGTACATACATGTTCCCACGGAAGGGGAAAAAAAGAGAATTAACAAGTAGAATATTTAAGTCAAAAGAGAGAAATGGCCTGTCCTGGCAGATTCCAGCCTTGTCTGAAATTTTAAAACAATGACATTATATGGTGGGAACAAATGAAAACTTTAGGAGAGGCAGGTAAAGTGAAAGGGAAAGAGTTTATTTCTGCAGTTTTAGCCTCTTAAGTGACCGCTGGCCTTATCTGAAAAGGGGCCTCAGCCGGCTTGGAAATTGAGACTGCATGAACTAAAGGGTTGAAAGATATTTTCAAAATGACTGGCTGATTGTTGAGTTTTCACAGGGATTATGCTAAGTCAGAAGTAATAAGCAAAGTTAAAAAATTAATAACAAAATAGCTTAGGTGTGGTAAAGGGTCTTTCCAAGAGAAAATAAATCTAACCACATGCCACTTAAATATACATTTCTGTTTCCACTGTCTAATAATATGTAGGGATTAATCTGTTGAAGGACCATAGGGTAAAAAGTAGTTACTGCAACACAAAAGTTTATGCTTCTTGAAGCACAGTGAAGAGGAATTGGTTGGACCTTCATTCTGGTCCCTGAACTTTAAAAAGGAGGGGAAATATCTAAATGAACTTCTGGCACTAAAGGATTCAGATTGGAAAAATGAGAATGCCAAGAGTTTCAGTGAAAAATGGTAAATGTACTTACTTGTACCAGCATTCAGCGCTTTCATCCCCCTATGAAAAGTGCAAACAAATTCCAAGAGGTCATCCTGCTTCTCTACGGGCATCCATTTCTTAAGTCCTCTGAACATTCTGGCAAGCTAGAGACAGCGTATTTTAAAATACGGGGCTTTCTCCATCCCTACAAGAGATAAGCCTTGATTGACTTTCCCTGAAGTTTACCAGACTCAGGGCTGCTAAATCTCAACATTCCTTGTTGCCTTTGACTCAAACACGTGCCCCAGGCAAAAGAAAGTGTGGGGAAGGAGGCGTCCTGGAGATAACAGCATGAGTACTAGCATGGGCGGCAAATAAACATGCAGCCCCTGCTACTCTAAGTATGCCAGGATTGTCATAGAACCCAGATCACTGGGGCGCCTCAGTGGCTCAGTCCATTAAGCGTCAGCTCTTGATTTCTGCTCAGGTCATGATCTCAGGGTTGTGAGATCAAGCCCAGAGTTGGGCTCCGTGCTGGGTGTGGAACCTGCTTAAGATTCTCCCTCTCAATTCTTGATCTCAGGAAACAAACTGAAGGTTGCTGGAGTGGGGGGTGGAGTGGGAGGGATGGGGTGACTGGGTGATAGACACTGGGGAGGGTATGTGCTCTGGTAAGCGCTGTGAAT